CAACATCCAGCGCCAATCACCATCAACGGGAGGGATTTGAAAGAGGTTACTTCATTCACTTATCTAGGGAGCATTGTCTCAACTACAGCAGGAACGGACGAGGATATCAAGTCGAGCGAGAATCGGGAAGGCGAGAAACACATTCATCAACCTGAAACCAATCTGGAAATCTTCGTCACTCAGCATCAACAGCAAAATTCGGATTCTCAATAAAAACGTCAAGTCAGTCAGTTCTTCTATACGGATCAGAAACTTGGCGGGTCACAAAGAATATTTCCAACAGCCTGTTGCAGACGTTTATCAGCAACTGTCTTCGTTCTATACTCAAGATCAGATGGCCGGAAAGAATCACAAATAAGAAGCTGTGTGAACAAACAAAACAGGAACCAATCGCTCAACAAATATGCAGGAGTAAGTGGAGATGGATTGGACACTCGCTGAGGAGGCCGCTGGGTGACATCGCGCGTCAGGCCATTGCTCGAGTGGAACTTGAAAGGGAAGCAGCGAGTGGGACTTCCAAGGGTGAAATGGAGGAGATCATGTGAACAGGAACTGAAACAGTATGGACTAACATGGATGCAAGTGAAAAGTACAGCAGAAGACAGAAGCAAGTGGAGGCGTGCAGTTGAAGCCCTTATGTTTCACTAGGAACCCAAGAGAACAATAATAATAATAATGTATTGTTGAATCAGAATTTGCAAAATCTCAGTTAATATGCATTAACGAAGTGAATCATCTTTCTTCAGTATGAGGAAACAATTTACATTGTCAAGTTGGTCATCTGGTAAAGATAACAAGACCATATGTAGATTGATGGATTTCATAAGGTCAAATTCTGTCTTTGTCCATCGTTCATTTCTCTTCTCACAGTTTGGATTCCATTTCATAATGAAGTGCTTCTGATAGTAGTAGATATTCTTTGTGATTTATGACATTTTTCTGAATGACTTCTATAGTATCAAGATCAAGTTTATGGCCTGATTCTATAGCATAGCGTGTAGCCCTATGGCTAGCTGATGATGTTTTAAGCTTTTCTAGTTCAACTGGATTTCTCGGTAGTTGAACAGAGATGTCCTACAAGATGTTCATTTCCTCTACTGAGTGATTTGATAGTTGGCGAAAAGCTTGCTGTGGATGAGCATGATGAGTCTTTTCATCTCTACCAGCTATCAGAATGTCGTCTAGATAGGCAAAATAAGGTCTAACCCACGCAAGATATCATGAACGAAGCGCTCAAATGCTTTTGCTGCGTTGCGTAGACTGAAAGGCATGCGAAGAAACTCTAGAAGGCCTAGGGGTTCACTGAGTGTCGTCCTAGGGACATCATCAGGGTGTACGGGGATCTGCTGATAAGTGCGTGCCAGATCAAGCTTGCCGTAAACAATCCAGTCTTTCAAAAATGTGAAATTGTGCATGTATTGGACTTGGAAAAGATCTAGGGCGGTTTGAGAGTTGAGCCTTCGGTAATCACTACAAAGCCTTTAGTCTATGCCACTGTTCTCGGGCACCACATTTAGAGGAGGAGATCGTTGGCTTTTGGATGACCTGATTATCCCCATTTCGAGCTTTCTTTTCTAACTCAGCCCTAACGACTTGGGGTTTCTCTGGAGACAACCAGCATGGTTTGGAGAAAAAAGGTGGACCAGTGGTAGTGATGTGATGAATAACAATTGAATCACACAAGGAACGCTACAATTAGGTTTGAATATGTTGACAGAAGATTGGATTGTGGCAGAGTACGGGCTTAAGGTGTCAGGGGTTTAATACACCTGGCTGAAAGAGGGTTAATGAGTGGCGGTGCCGGGCACGGATAGTTATGTGGTGGAATCAGTCATTTTTTCTAGTTCAACTGGATTTCTCGGTAGTTGAACAGAGATGTCCTATGAGATGTTCATTTCCTCTAAATTGACTGATATCAATACGTGATTGAACTTGAAACAAATCAAATCCCTACAAAATAACTGCTGAAAATTAGTCTGATGATCATCTAGTGACTGTCTGCAGGACGAAATTGCTGCACAGTTCTAGTGAGAAGTTATGACCAGTGAAGTCCACTCGGTTGAGAGTGAGCACACATATACTCGTTGATGATACTGTCTGATGTTCATGATAAAACCATGAATTTGTAGAAGTTAGAATTCACGTATAAGAATGTGACATTGTGCACATTGTCGTTTTGTTATTTCTACCTGTTGACCAGCTTGACAGCGTAAAATATTACCCCCCCCCCCCCCCCCCCAAGCTGAAGAAAGATGATTAATTTTTGTTGGTGTGTATAAACTGAGATTTTGTTAATTCTGATTTTAGCCATACCCTGATTAAGCTGTTAGCAGTATTAAATAGCAAAATGTCAATAAAAAAACATCAGTCTCATTCATTGTTTTTCATTTCTTGTGAAATTCAAACATTTTCATAATAATAATGAATACCATATGCCCAATGTCTAGGATTTTTCAAACTATACTAATACTAATAACAATAATAGCGGCTTTATTTTGTACAGCGTCTATATGTTGTACAAAAATATTCAGCATAGTTTAGTGCATGATGCTTTTCTCTTCATCCAGGATCTTCAAATAGAATACCACGTGATGGTAGACCATGTGAAACATGTGTTCGCCTGACATGAAGCGCATACCATAACATTATGATCTTTCTCATTTGTCTTCTTCGGTAAATGTGTAACAACAGAAGACAAGGGCCAGGCAACAGATCGTTTATTAAGGAAAATCAACACATATTTATAGATTTTAGTGTACATTATTGTAGATTATTGTTAGTAGAAAATACAGCCTTTTGATTGGTTGTTTCTCATCTTGCATCTCTTTGTGACTGTGTCAGATCATCCATATGCTAACTGTATCCGCCTACGCAAAGCCTTTGTTCTCATCATTTTCTCACCACCAATATTGGGGTCATAAACATTGACGTCAATTGGTGTCTACTAACTTTGGCTAGCAGCCAGCTCTCACCACAAATGCATGTAATAGCAATGTTAAAAATGGCAATTAGAAAAGTCTCAGGAATCCATTCTGTGAACCAAGAACACAATTCAAGAACACAGCTATCTCTCATGCATTGCAGTACACCCCAACCGACAATTATGTTCATTTTCTGTAACGATAAATAGAAACTTCCTAATAAGCAAGTTGTAAGCACAGTAAATGCTCGCCAAAGTATTATTATTATTGTTTCATTCAGCCAAACGTCTCCATTGCGTTCTGTTCTCTGCCTACATTTTCACTTAACTCCACGTCTGCTCACATGATTTCATCTCCTCTTCACATCACCTCCTCCTTGTCACCCCACTCTCTCACTGACGATTAACCCGCTGCTCTTCGTTCGAGTTCCACTCAAGCGATGGCCTGGCGTGTGATGTCACTTCATGATTTGTTTTTTAAGAGTATGGCCAATCCATCTCCATTTCTTCCTGCTTATTTGCTGTAAAATTGATTTCTGCTGTGTTGGTTCGCTCATTGCTAGAGATCCCTGTTTCTGATCTTTTCTGATCAGCCATCTGATCTTGTGCAGTACTGAGCGAAGACAGCTGTTGTGGAAGGTCTTTAATTTGTTCGAAGTGCCATTCGTGACGCGACGTGGCGTCAATTCTCTGATCCGTATGGTAAGAAGCACTGACTTCCCATTGGAGTCGAAAATCCGGATGTTATTTCTCATGGTGGGTACTGCTAACATCCACACAGACTTGAGAGTAGTGAAAGCTCGCTCTGCTTTCCCGATCCTCGCTTTGCTGATTTCCTCATCAGTTTCGTGCGCCTGTAGTTGGAACGACGCTTCCCAGGTAGGTAGGTAGGTAGGTAGGTGAAGGAGGTTGCTTCTTTCTGATTTCTCCCATTCATGCTGGCTGATTGTTGTCTGTTGTTGTTGGCCAAGAATCTTCATCACCTCTGTTCTCTCTATCCTCACATGAAGGAAGTTATATCTTCTCCGGATGCTTCTTCTGCCAACTTGGTGCTTTTCACTTACATATCTTCCAGTTTGTTGGAAATCAAACATAAAGACATCATCGGTGACGTCCATATCCTCCAAGTATTTTGTCTGGGTGCATTCGATACCTGTCTCCTCGTTACCCGCTGTGTGTCTGCCGCATTATCCTGTTTTCAACAATCAGGAAAATCACTGGATATAGTGGGCTGCCAGCGAGTTTGTATTACTCCCGTCTTCGCTTCGGAAGATTCCATGAGTTTCCCGTTGTGGATTACTTGGCATGCAGAATTGTCGTACAACTGTTGGATGAGATGTATAATTGTTGGTGGCACCCAGTAGTAGTGGCGAAGTAGTTGCTAAATCACCTCTCGATCTCCACTGCGTTGTCGAAGGCCTTTACAAAGCCAATGAAATTGAGGTAGAGAGGTTACTGTCATTGCAAGTTCTGTTCAATGATAATAAGTACTGTTGCGATTTGATCGATGCATGACTTGTTTCTCCTGAATCCAGCCTGTTCCGGTCGAAATTTTTCATCCAGGAGGTGTTTGATTCTTTCCAGGATGATGCGGCTTAGTATTTTGCTTGGGACGGACAGTGACCTTATTTCCTTTTCTTTAACAGTTTGAAGAAGTAGCCTTCCTTCCAATCTGCAGGTTATATTTTATCAGATTTAAAGAAATTGAACGAGAGAAGACATCTGTGAAATATCGATGGGATTTTTCGTAGGCCTAAATTTCAGCAAACCGTCAATATTAATGAAGAGAATATATATTTATATACATATATTCACAAGAGTGAGTTGTAAGTTCTAAAGTTACTACAACCAGCTAACAGTGACCCCACAAGTAATTATCTTTATTTCATCTTCACTGTAACAAATTTCACACAAACGCACAAAGACATACACACATTAAGTAGATCAATTTTTAATTACGTAATAAATTTATTTTGATACTCTGAATAATAAAGAACATAAAAAGAAATAGGAAATGAATTTCTAAAACTAATGTGAAAATTGTTTTTTCATAGAAATGTATACGTATAATAAAGAGATATCCAGTTAAATGTCGAGAACAAACAGTCAGAGAGGCGAAGAAGAAAACATTTTGGTTATCATAATTGATTGTTATCAAAACTTATTACACACACTATCTACATTAGCTTTATTATCTGTACAAAGTCTCTGAATGATAATCGTTGAATTGTATACATAACATTTAGATTTTTGAAATAAAAGAAAAGGATTTCTCTCTTTCCTTTTCCCTCCTTTTTGCACTCTGCGGTGAGTATAGGGTTTCAAACTTGAGCTGTGAAATTTCACTAACTAAATAGAGCGAAGGAGTTCGGTTGTTTCTTTCATAGGATAGGAGATTGCTCCCCCCTTCTCGTCAGCCTTCCCTCTTGACCGGGTTTACTACTGACTAATAGAAGTTTAGCAGTATGCCGGCAGGGAATCGAACCAAGAAACACAAAGAAAAATGAACAATATATATCAGTAGTATCAGTCCCGTTTTACAGAAAAGAAATTACTCATTTCACCTGGTACCACCAAAAATGAGATGAAATGTTGAATCGGTATTCCCTTAAGAAAATCCTCTAATTACCACCAGTTGAGAATTATTAAAGACATCTTTAAAAAAAGGGGGAAGAGGGATGTTTTTTTAACAATAAACAAGGAAGAGTATAATGATAGATCTGCTTTTATAGATCCTTCATCGTTTTGGTGAAATTCTCAGTTCGTTCGCTTTGCATACAAAAATCTGATTCACGGTGAATTTGTCATGTTAAACAGTGAATAGCATGATTGTCTGTTTTCAAAAAGGAAAGATGAAAATCATAATTTTTAGGTTCCTTTTTTATCATTTTTTTGGATCCATTGATGACTGTGATTAGTTAGTTTCTTTGCAGATTACTTTATTCACCAGAGGTGGACAATTCAGTGTTAATATCATTACTGCCATTATTATTATTATTACATAAATCACAGAGGGTCAATGTATTGAATAAAAAAATTTTTTAAAAACTCCTTTCATAATGACAGAGAAAATTTGGTTTTTCAAGACGGAGATAGAAAATCATTCGAAATTGATAAATAAGTATTATCAAAATATATAAAATAACCTTGGTGACGACATAAACAAATAACACTCATAGAAGATGAATTAGACATGCTTGATATGAATGAAATTGTACAGTTTTTCATAAATTTTATTTCATCAAAATTACTTTTTCCTTTTTTCTTCTGTTTATAAATAACTTAATTCAGACACATTGGTTTTATTCTCTTCTGTATCACCACCATTGATTGTTGAACGTTTTTTACACTTTGAATTACGACAGATATTTAGTAAAGCAGAAGTAAATTTCTTATGCTCTTCATTCGACCTATAAGTGAATGCTTCTCTTGGTAGTCTTTGTAAACGTTTTGCCGTAGGATATAAATATAAAGGATGTAGAATTAAACCAATCAAGATGGCTACAACAATGAGAATATAATAACCGTCGATTAATTTAACACACGATGTTATGGTATCAGTACAGTCCTGTTATTGATATAAAAGAGAGGAGAAAAAGAAAGGGATGTTGAAACAAAAAAATAGTCTTTATTAGTAGAGTAAACAATAAATATAATGTCATTTAAGAATTTCAATGGTTCTCTTATTGCTATCAATCCGTGGGCAAAGTCGTATAAATAAGTCAAATCCTTACAAACCAACTTTTGGAAATTAATCTGATGCTCGCTAGTCACTGGCTACAGGACAGAGTTTCCTGGAGTTCCAGTGAGAAGTCACAACCAGTGAGGTGAATCCAGTCGCGACGTGAGGATGGATGATGACATTGGTTGGTGGTCACGCTAAATCACGATTTGGTAGGAGTTAAAATTCATGGACTGGTCACTAAATGAATGGTTGAATGGTATACGAGCTTGCCTGGTGACCGGAAGGTCCTGGGTTCGACAACTGGCGATGGGTGCATATTGCCGATGATTCTCAAACTAGGCTGACGAAACATCTGTCCAGAACTCTCTGATTTTCAATGGTTCTCTAACTGATATCAATCTATGGTCAAACTTGTATATATACATAGATTGTATTTTCATAAACAAGAAACTATGAATTTGTTGTTAAATGGTTGGAGGCGAATTTATCACATGGAGCCTTAGACTTAAAATATATCATCTAATCTTTATTCAATGTTTACCTGAACAGTTTATCAGTTTTTGTATTGGCCAGGTGAGACTTAAAGCACCAGTAATTGCCAACACGGATCGACCACACCAAAGATGTTGAATCGCTCAGCAGTCAGCAAGTAGATCAATCCAGGGAAATAACATTACAATCATGAATAAATTATGCCTAATAAAGTGTTATGTTACTTAATGGGATATCTGGTAATTTTCAGGATAGTTTTGAAATGATTAAGTTAAGGTTTAGGCTAAAGACAAGTTAGGGTTGGGTAAACCTAATAAGAGTGACATCAGGGTTGGTTAAGGTTGGATGGATTAAGGTTAGCTTAAAGATAGTTTAGTGTTGAGGTTAGGTTAAGGAAAGATGAGGGTCGGAGTATGGGTTCAGAAGACCCAGATGAATACATTTATAGAGTGTGGAATAATTACTAACTATATCGACGTTTCAATCCAAAACTGTGAGGTAATTTTGTCACACATCAGAGAAAGGTATCCTGTGCAACACTTGCATACCTTTTTATTCATCATTTCCATAAACAGGTGGTATTTTATACGTAAAAGTCACCTGTTTCATGTGATTGGTGCATTCAGGGTCGATTGTTCGTTGATATTTAATTGTGCTTAGACTTTCACTTCAATGAACGAAATATTCCCATATTGAGTCTTAAGAAAAAGGCACAAACAGCGAAGAAAATTTTCTTTTCGACGATTCATTTTCATGAGCTGTACACTCGTACTTATAATTAACAAAGAAATCTTTAGACCAATCAGATACTGGTACATTTTGTCCTTGGAAAATTGTATTATGTCGGCCGTACGCAACGTCAAGTCCACAAACGTATTCTGGAACACTGCCCAGCTTGGTTTGCCAGAGGAGAAAAGAAGAATAGCAAGAGCTCGATCCTCGAACACCTTGTTATCTCTGGACATCGAGCACCTCCACATGAATGCTTCACAGTGTTACACAGAGTCCCTCAATATCGTACAAAGGGACTTCGGATACGCCATCTATACATAGCTGAAGCATTAGCTATTCGAGATCTGAAACCGGACCTCTGCATCCAAAAGCGATACATACATTCTCTTGCCCTACTGTGGCCAGAGTAAAGTTCTTACCACATATTTCGCTTCTTTCCTTTATTATGTAAGTTCACTATAATTATTATTCCCATCATCCACATTTTATTACCACTCTATTACTGTTTATTAATAACAGTGCTTTTCATACATATTTTATACAAAAACACTAGTTCCTATCCATTTTACACGAGCTTACTGATTATTCATTATCTCACACTTATTACGTCATGCCAACTTCTGTCTCCTTTTTTAACATACATTAGTCATCCCTTCTTACACCTTACATTATGTAATACAATTCTCCAAGGACAAAATTTACCAGTATCTGATTGGTCTAAAGATTTCTTTGTTAATTATAATTACGATTGTACAGCTCATGAAAATGAATCGTCGGAAAGAAAATTTTCTTCGCTGTTTGTGCCTTTTTCTCATGACTTTAACTTCACCTTTGTATTCTACCTATCCTTCTTAACTGCTCCCCTTTAATGTTTCCTGGGCTACTTAACTAAGACTTTGTTACTTTTCAAAGGGTACAAAAATCTGTCAGTAAGGCGAGCAGAGTTCAGTAAATCACTTTGTTAATTCTGTTATAGGTAGATACTAGAACTCATGCAAAAAAATGAATGAATGAGTGAATGATGAATATCATTTTGTCGGGCTCTCAGCATCCCCTTTTATACACAAGCCTCCATTTGATTCTCATCAGGTAGAAACTGGAGTGGTTATAGAAGACTTTATGCTCATATCGTTAAGTGTGTAACCTCTTTGATATCTCAGAATGGGACGCATTTTGTGTGGTGAGAAAATTGTTTTTTTTTTCACTAATATATTTATGTTAATATTTCCACTTAAATTTTAATCCTATATTCATATTGTTACTGGACAATATTATCAATGTAAATGCCCTTTCTAATTGCTTCCCTCTGTACTGAGTAAATGTAAGGCGAAAATGGGATATGAGATATTGTGCCTTATGCTAAAAATTTTACATTAGATCAAACGTACTTTTTGGAATAAAGCAAATATTACTAACATTGTTGCTATAATAATAATAATTATTATCCGTATTTATTGAGTAGCGAAAGTAGGTAACATTGCAAATGTAGATTTCATTACATCAGCTACAAGACCATTGAGTGTACGCGACCGTTTCTTTCTGGCTTTTGATTTTTGAGAGATATTTAACTAGAACCTTTAAGGAATCTGAGCCTCTCTCAAATAATTATGTTAAAATGCCAACTGTGTAATTCCCACTGTGGTGAGAGCTATTTGCAAGACAAAATTATAGACAACAATTGACGTCAATTTTTACGTCTTAAATCGCGGTTATGAGGAATAACAAGAACAAAGCCTAACCTTGAGGAACTCAACAACCAATCACAGTAGACTTAGCGTGGGCGGATACGATTCGCAGATATATAAACGGACTGTCTAAGAAACGGCAACAAAGAGATGACAGAATAATTTTCAGCAGGTAAACAACCAATCAGAAGACGCTGATTCTCTGCTAACAATAACGAACAATAATGTACGTGAAAATCTACAAATATCTGTTGATTTTCTCAATAAACGATCTGTTGCCTGTCCCTCGTCTTCTGACGTTACACTAGTCCTACATTAATAGAAGTACCTAACCCCCCAAAACACAGGTTGTTCGTAGTTTTTTTATAAATTTAGTACATGGTTATTAACTGCTATTGATGTCTGTCATTTGTAGACGCTAGGTATTAATTAACATCATACATCTAGTCCCTTGTATTGGTGCCAAGTGAATTCCACCAGTCAGTTTTACAGCCTGGTCACCATTCTAGGTGGCTTGCCATCATGGTGGTATTTTTCTTTTTTTTATTCCTTTACTTTCCCTGTGGAACATAGGGCTTCAAGCTAGAGGCTTGAAGTTTCTGTAGCAGTGGTGGTTATTTTTACAGGATGGGGTTGCTAGCTTCATGTCCAACCTTCCCTCTTTACCAGTCTTACTACTGAGTTAGTGAGGTTAGGGAGTGCATCCGTGGCCGGGGATTGAACCCTGGACCACCTGCCTGGTCGGCGAGCACTCTACCACTGTGTCACCGACGCACTGAATTGTTGGTATAAGATGGCTGATTTCGTGAAATAAAGTACGAAGATTGTTCATCAGTCATTAACACACACACAAAATCATAGGAAATATATAAAATACAAATTACTAAGTTGTATATTATCTGACAGTAAGAAGATAGTTATTGCCCCTTAAAAATGAAACACCATATGATCTATTTACTTATTTGATGTCTTTTACTCTACTAATCACCAGAACTCATTAATATCTAATTAACTCATATCGATTCAGACCTCCTTTTATGAACAAAGTGTTGATATCTCAATGCAGATTTTGTCAGGAATTCAGTAAGTGAATCCCTGACAAACGGGCAACGTTAGACAGCTGTTTCGTCCTTTGTCTCTACAAGGTGTTGAACTAGGAACATTCTGGTTACACAGTTAGCCAATTGACCATGGTTCAAAATTCACTGGACCGGGAAATCTAACTTTTATCGATTCTCCACATAGCACTTCCATCATTCAATGCCATCAATGATCGTACACTTCACCTCGAAATGACGGATCCCACTGGCCCCGATTTCTTATTTTAGAACTTCTGGACATCCATCCTACAGCCATTAACAAGCCTGAGATTGATATTAAGATTATGGGTTCTGCGGGGATTTGGATTGATTTCATTATGGATTTTGTCACAAGCCAACATCACTTGGGGTGGGGGGATCACTGAAAAACAAGGAGTATTCGATGACACTTCAGCGGTGTGAACTCATGACCTCACCAGAGATCAACCTCAGGATTTTACAAGTTGAAAGCCCAGCATTTCAATGAAATCTACACATTGAAAGTGTTCCAAATCGGTACTAAACCTATAAACTGAAAGTGTTATTATGTTTAGTTGACAAGTGTAATATGTATGAACCCAAATTAATTCATTCTGTAGTAAGTGATCAGTCAATAATGAGTGTTTCTGATACATCCAGGAATACTTAACATATGTAACTTTAAGTGAAATTACCAGCAGGCAGAATGTGCGTTTGCCTAATCGCTTGAAACTTAGATAATTTATTGGTATGACGTGAAACAGTAAAATTTGTCAAACTGACTTTGCAATACTGTTTGAAAATCAACACGTGAGAATTTATGTATGTTCAAAACATGAAAGCAAGGTAGAAAGAGATTTTCTTACGAATCTTGTTATGTATATACATATATGCATTTGTCCTGGCTATTCATTAATTTCAGTTGTTGAATTTTCGTCATGAACTAACATCAGTTGTAGGAATATTTAAGACTAGGGAACACTGGAAAGCCGCTTCCTCCTATTTTGGGACACCTCATAAGTACTACTGGATGAATTTCCTGAAGCTACATTGGGAAGACTTGACCAGTAGAGATTAATGTGACTAAATAAAGTGGATGTCCATTGAAGGCGTTGATGAGGGCAGAGGTATATCACAAGCCGACTAAGTTCAAATTCAGGGGGTCACTGAATTCCAGCTCAAGTGATTGAATTGTCAACAGACTTGGTCTCGTAACCTGTAGGTCCTGGGCTTGATCTCCGTTGAGGTCGTGGGTTTGTATTGCTGAGTAGTTACAAAACAGGAAGAAACAGCTCTCCAGGACTACCTGCTTCTCAGTTATCTCTCTGATGGATGTTGGTTTGAAATTAGTCCAAACTTCTATTATCTGAATACTCATTAATTGTTTAAATCAGTAAAAGAGATATCAGCCGAAGGGTTCTAAATGCACTTTGAGGGGGATTAGTTAGTTTTTTATCACAATTGATACTAAACTGTAGTTTACCGGCAGTTAGTAAACGAAGGAAATCTTCCATATATATATCCGTCAAAGAGATAACTGAGAAGCAGGTAGTCCTGGAGAGCTGTTTCTTCCTGTTTTGTAACTACTCAGCAATACAAACCCACGATCCAATATGGAGATCAAACTCAGGACCTACAGGTTACGAGACCAAGTCTGTTGACAATTCAATCACTTGAGCTGGAATTCAGTGACCCCTGAATTTTGAACTTCGTCAGCTTGTAATGTACCTCTGTCCTCATCAACGCCTTCACTGAGCATCCATTTCATTTAGACACAGTAGTCTCTACTGGTCAAGTCTTCCCAATGCAGCTTCAGGAAATTCATCCAGTAGTACTTATGAGGTGTCCCAAAATAGGAGGAAGCGGCTTTCCAGTGTTCTCTAGTCTAAAATATTCCTATAACTGATGTAAGTTTATATAAATATATATATATATATATATACATAACAAGATTCGTAAGAAAATCTCTTTTTACCTTGCACTCATGTTTTGAACATACTTGTATTCTCGTGTGTTGGTTTTTGAACAGTAAACCATCCCAGTAACCATAATCATTATAATAAGGGTTATTTGTATTTCTCAATGAATGAAAAACAATGAACGATAGTGTGTTTACTGATGTTTCGCTATCTAATGCTGCTAATAGCTTTATCAAAGTATTTTTAAACCAGAATTTACGAAATCTCAGCTTATATGTAACAAATTTAATCATCGTTCCTTAGGATGGGGTCATTTTCGTTGTCAAATTGGCCGGTTGGTAAAGATGACAAAACCAGGTGTAGATGACTGTTGGATTTGATATGTGCATAAAATTATAAAAGCAGCGTGTGTTTACATAATGAAATTGCTTATCACATTCGTGTTGATTTTGTCATTTCATGAAGGAGGGGGAGGTGTTGTAACCATGTTAAATTCCGTCTTAGTCCATCATTTCTATTCAGACAATTTGGATTCCACTTGATATGAAGTGCTTCTGATATTAGACGTTCTTTGTGATTTCTGAAACTTTTCTGGATTATTTGAATTTTGTCGAGATCAATTTTGTGGCCTGACTCATTGGCGTAGCGTTCAGACATATGGCTAATGATTGACCAAGCTTTTCTAGTTCAACTAGATTTCTCGGTGGTCGAACAGATGCTCTATGGTGTTCATTTCTTCTGATTTTGATTTCTCTCTGGCGATGTTTGTTTGATGTTAATCGCATTGCAAGCACTTTATTTTATAGACACAATTAGATAGGGAATCGTTAGGGATTTGGTCTTTTATGTGGACAAGGTGTTTCGCAGTGTGTCTGATTTTTTAAAGAAAACTCTGATGTCGAGTTTATTGAGTACTCTTCTGATATCGCCTCACGTCTCTGCTCTATATGGAATGACAACTGTTGAGGTCCATGTTTTCGGAATACGTTTTCGGTCATACTTATTGTCGGTGTTGATTTTGTTGATGAAGTATTTTGCGTAGTTCTTTTGCTTGAGAGTCTCAGTAATGTTTGATATTTCTTCTTCTTTTTCTTTCTCGTCGGTTATCAGAGAGTGTGCTCGTCTAAGAAGACTTGAAACGACTGATATCTATGCACTGATGAAGTGTGATGATCTGAAGTCTAAGTATATGTTGGAATGGGTTTTCTTCCGTCTTTCCTCCTCTCAACTTGGCATGCATTCTAGAAATGGTAGTTCACCGACGTCTGATTCTGCTTCCGAAGTAAACTGGATTGTGGGAGATTGATTTTTTATTTTCTTCAACAATCTACATCTGGTTTTGTTATCTTTACCGACTGAACAATTTGACAACGAAAATGACCCCATACTGAGGAGCGATGATTAAATTTGTTACATATAAGCTGAGATTTCGTAAATTCTGGTTTAATAATACTTTGATAAAGCTATTAGCAGCATTGAATAGCGAAACGTCAGTAAAAACAATATCGTTTTGTTTTTCATTCATTGAGAAATACAAAAAATGTTTATTATGATGAATATCATATACCTAATGTCCAAACTCTTAAAGGTGAACTTGGTTCGGACATAAATAACTAGTAACCATAACTTCAAACAATAAAAGTGACGATTGGGTTCTGGTCATACACAAAGTATCCTTTCTACCTGAATCCAAATGTCGATACTCCTTGAGTACTGAAAATTTGAAGAAATTTTAATTCGCTAAAATATCTTTAGAATTTTATTTGGTATATTTCTCTCAGGGTGATAATGTATCCGTTAAAAGAGAAAAATTCTGATGTATATAGGAAGGGTCATTACATCATTATTTAATAGCTATTTTGACACTGAAAATCAAAGTATTGCATTTATATTATCAAACGTGAAAGTATTAAACAAAAACCATTATAAGCATTTACCTTTCCAATATTTGAAGTATTGCATGTGCTATTCACAATATTCATCATTGTCACACTGGCATTTGTATAATTGTCAGTAGCATTACTTTTGTACGTGCATGTATGAATTGTTAGCGGATTTATGAGTGCAAGACTAATGGTGTTAGAAAGAGCGCCGGCTGTTTATTAGGAGTAAATACAGAAGAGAAAAAACAACTGAATATAAATCAAATTAAATGCACTCGGTATTATTAAACAGATAGCTGTATTCAAGTATACTTGACAATTTTATGCCAATTTTATTATAGCTGTACGCTTAAATGATGTCTACAAATCTATTTGTCCACTTCGACATTAAACGAGAAGTAGTTATACATGAGAAAATCTGGGATATAAGCACGCTTGATTTTTGATCAAATTTCAAGGAATCAGCTACTTCGAAGTTGTTATTTAGAAGTTTAGTTATATGACTCAGTTCACCTTGTTGTTGCTGTTATCGTTGTTTATTTTGGTGACATTCTATTTCATGAAAACAAGCCAAGATATACTACTGTTAGATTGTGAAAATACCACTGTATCATTCGGGTTCGGCTTGAGGGCCTTGAGTGAAATGTCGCTGAAAGGTCTTCTCAGAGAGTGTCCGGTGCACCTTCATTTCCTTTGGCAAATTTACAGGGAAAAAGGTTGTTGGTTGGTTCACTGCCAGAAATTCCTGTTGCGTATCCTCTCTAACCGAACAAATGATATTCAGTACTGTAGTCTGTTGGAAATGCTTTTCATGAAGCGCATGTCATTTCTCTAGACCATGTAGAAGAACTGACTGACTAACTGACATTAGTTTTGAAAATCAAAATATCAGCGTTTATGGTAAGTGAAGCAGGTTTCCAAAGTGATGTCAAACTAAGGAAGGCCTGTATCGCCTTTCCGAGCGCAACTGGCTTTAACATCTTCATCGGTTCCGCCAGCAGTTGAAATGATGCTACTGTTGACAGTGATTAGTACTTGTCAACGTTGGTTGGTTATCTTCATCTCCTCTATCTTCTATATGTTTAATTGAACTCATGTCTTCTCTGTCCACTTCTTCTTCCAACTTGTTGATTTTCGTCTGCAGGTAAAAAACTTACTTTTAAGAACTAATTTTTGCACTCTTACACACTTCGTTATTGGTTTCTTTATATGAAACTTTCTTTTGATACATTTTATCCAAGTGAAGCGTAGTTCTAAGCGTTACTGAAAGCAACAGAAAATCGAGATTATTTAGATTATCTTGTTTTTGTATGGAAATTTGGTGCTGACAATGACTGTTGATAGCTCTATGTTATGAACTGATAACTAAGTTAGAACCCAATGGTCACTGAATTCTTGCCTAATTATAGGTTTCCAGGCCGTAGGTGTTAAGAACTTCCTGGAATAATTTGAGCGCCAAGTCAGATTGATTCATAATAAATTATTTAATTTAATCCCAGTGTGCTAAGAAAATCAAAACAAGATTTTTCTGAACGCTTCGTTTATCTATAAATCTGATGAAGAAGCTGTGGCTTACACAGCGAAACGTTCAGAAAAATCTTGTTTTGATTTTCTTAACATGCTGGGATTCTTGCCTGATTGGCTGAAGAGTCAACGAGCTTGGCATCGTGACCTGATGGTCTTTGTTTCGATCGCTGGTAGAATCATGGTAGTGTACTGTTGCAAGGTCCAAATAGAGGACGGAAAGGCTTTTCAATACTCTTTAGTTTCCGGTGATTCTGTAATTCGTTTTGGTTCATAACAAAATCCATCTACATTGAAATCAAACTTATACTGCTTTATATTATTCTCTAAATCGGATGGTTTAATTTCAAAGCACTATCGTCCTTCTAGATAACATTTTAGCAAGCAAAACGTCAACGTAAACGAGATTTTGGAATTCTTATTGAATTACAGAAGTGTCCCTCTCTCAATCACCTTGACGGTGATTGTCTATCTTCAGAGGTTTTCTTGTCCTTTTGATCATTCATATATTGATAGTGATTGCTTCTGTGACTGGAAATCTGACCTTTGGCTTTATTGATTGATAAATTTGATTTTTGTCAGCCTATTTTCTGAGTATGTATTGATCTGCTAATCAAGAATCTAGGAATTCACCGGCAGTTTTAGTATTTCCGTAGTTGCAAATTTTGTGGATTACTTATTCAAACTGGCATGCGTAGTTATGCACATGTAATGATGTGCAGGAAAACAGATAACCTCTTTTTATCACTGGTTTACGCTCTTGGGTGCAAAACAGAAAGGGACATCTAGAATAGTATTTATCATAGTTGATCTTGTCTTCCTGTGTATTCCGTATTAGTGAACGTGTTAGTGACTGTATTGGTTTGTCTGTATGTTGTGTGTGTGTAGAATACCTATTGCAAATGGTGTCAGTATTTTAGTAATGACTGCATGATCAGAAATCGCAGTTTAAACTTCGTAGGAGAAGACAAGTTCATGGGATGTTTCATCAGATTAATTTAATTTTCATTTAATTTTATTCCTTTGCCTTTGCAGTGGAAAATAGGGCTTCAAGATAAAGCTTGAAAGTTTCGGTAGCATTGGTCTCATTTTTTAAGGAGTGGGATCGCTAGTCCCAAGCTCAGCCTTCCCTGTTTTCCGGGCTGATTACCAGTTAGGCGAAGTTTAGGAGTGCGTTGGTTGGGGATAAAACCCCGAACCACCTAAGGAGTTGGCGAGCACTCTACCATTGCGCCACTGACGGCATTTCATCAGAAATGTTTCTTAAATCCAAATTAACTGAAAATCAGTCTCTTGTTTATTGAAAGTTTTCGAAAAAATTTCGTGTGTTTACCTCAATCGTAAACTATAAAGACAAAATAAGTAATCATTGAAAATCAATTAGTAATGAACAGGAATTCAATTTTGGATAATAACTTGACATTTTGTTTACACTCATCTTGACGTCATACAGGAGACACAGTGGTCAGAATGTACAAATATCGCTGCCAGTGTATGACCCTTTAGGAAAATAATCTTAACCAGTTATTGTCGAAATTAGATAACATATATAGTTTATTCATTATCCCATATTTTGTTGTATAGCATTCCATCTAATTTGATAGTCTCCATGTTGTCTCACAAAAGTAAGACAAGGCTGACTATTACTATCATCAATGATATTTCTGATTGTAGGGAGAGAGAAGCGGAGAATACGCTGAGTCGAGTAGAAGACTCTAGGAGGGAAAGACTTCATGGACAACTTATACCTGATTTCATACAAACTCAAGAATCTACAGGCGAGGACCAACAAGCTGGAAGGCTGAAATAGCCATTTAAGACAAGAAATCGAGTGAACGTGAGTGAGGGAGACAGAAGTGATGAAGATACCTAAACGACAATACAAAGCATCAGTCATCAACAGCACCAACAGCAACGAAAAACGTCAAAAGCAAAATAGAAATAATGGTGGAACTAATAATGATAACATATATAAGAAAGAATATAAGGCATCTAAAGTAGTTCTACCAAAATAAGGAGGGGAAATCTGAGGCCCTACGTAGGATTCTCAACAAAGCATGAATTAGGGTGGCATTCACACCTACAAACTCAGAGACAAGCTATGTAGGCTAAAGGACCCGGTGAACCCATTTAAACAAAATAACATAATTTACAAAATACCTTGCAATGACAGTTAGTTAGGTCAACTACATAGGTCAAACTAGTAGACTGGGAGTAGTGAGATTATCAGAACATAAGAATTTAGCTAAGGTAAGAATGATTGACCCACGAGGATAAGTAATTTAGAAAAATGCTCAGTAATCGCACTGCATGCATTAATACACAACCACACAATGAGGTGGGAGAGGGTTAGAATTCTAAGAAGTAATCTAGTTAGGTGTGGAGAGAGATTAGTTACTGAATCCTGCCTGGTTCATCGAGTTCACACGCAACACATGCAACAGAAATAATTCAACGCAAATATCAGAGATATGGGAGATATTATTACCACCAGTCAAATCAGAGGAGGATAATAAATAATCTTAGAATTCTATTTTCATTCACATACATTATAACATTCTAACAAGTTACGCATTTTGACGGCAAAAACACTCGTCTTATTTTCCATCTGATTGCATTTGACTGATAACACTCATATTATTATTTCCGAAAGTACTTTATCTTATATTGATTTTTATTCAAATGTATAATCAATTTTCAGTCATGTATATAAATCAAGCAGAAAGTTGTGTGAGTGACTTGATATGATTATGAGCAGAAATAGTTTGTGCTAGAAACGTGTTCATCGGTAATTATTTATTTAAACGCAGAAAAAACTTGGTACAATATGGCACCAAGAAAGATGTGCCACACAATAATAATAAAACAACATAGATTAAAAGTAAAAATGTAAGTAAAAAATGGATAAAGAACTTCATCTGGAAGGATAACAGTCATGTTTAACAAGTTTAAACAGTATTCGTTAACTGTCATCAGGAAAGGAAGAAAGAAGGAAGTTGCAACACGTTCGCCAATGACCACGATTCTTGGCCATATCTGATAAAGTTTCGAGCCATCGATTCGAGCTATCTCGCGGAACCCAACCAGGGAGTCGTGACGCACCAACTGATGCTAATCTAGAACAAAAATCCTTCATCCCTTGACACCACGTCATGAACTGACCACCCCTCCGCCTTTTCTATCCCGTCCCAGGACTACCGAACACAGACTTGTACGGAAGCCTCTGGGATGACATTCGCAGCACATTTCCAAGCCACCGAAGCCGGTGTTTTCAGATGACGACATTCAATGAATGGTGATCTCCACTGTGTTCAAACACACGCCACTGAACCTCAGAATTACTCACGCGATGATGCCATCGAACGCAAGCAATCCTGCGGAGACAGCGATGATCGAACATGTAGAGTCGCCGCACATCCTCAGCTCGGAGAGGCCAGGTTTCACAGGCGTAGAGCAAGGCAGCCCGCACCGAAGCATCGTATACCCGACCTTTGACAGCCAGGCTAACGTCGCGACGGCGCCATAGGTGGCTCAAGTTGATGTATGCCACCCTAGCCTTCATTATACGGTTGGAAATCTCATCCGTCACCCCTGCACCAGCACTCACACAACTACCCAGATACACAAACCTATCAACAACTTCAAGCGATCACCAGCAAGAGTGAGTGCAGGTACAGGCTCCTGCCAA